GTGAGACATTCAGCTTTCTTACGAGTGGTCGATGATGCAATTACCTTAAGGGGTTATCGAGAAATCCACAATAAACTGAAAAGAGTGAAAAAGAAACGTCGTTTCTCTGTTTTTTCAATTTCTACAGCTCATAGCAGGCGACTCGATGACAGTACCAAGAAGCCAATAGGCTCGTTGGAAAGCTGAGACATTCAGCTTTCTTACGAGTGGTCGATGATGCAATTATCTTAAGGGGTTGTCGAGAAATTCCGAAAACACTAAAAAAAACGAGAAAACCGTCATTTCTCTGTTATGTATAAGACGTTAAGTATGTGTTTTTTTTTCAATTTCTGCAGCTCATAGCAGGCGACTCGATGATAGCTAAAAGCTATATGTAGGCGCGTTGAAAAGGTGAGGAGACATTCAGCTTTCATATGAGTGGTCGTTGATGCAATTATCTTTAGGGCTTGTGGAGAAATTCACGATAGACTGCAAAAAGTGAAAAAAACGAAAATCGTCCTAGTATATGATTCTCGAAAATGCCAGAAAATTGGGATTTGCGCTAGGAGACTATGAGTAGCGACGAGGTATATGAGCTCCTAGTATCGATCGTTACTGATTGGTTGTAATTTGAAATTTACGTTTGTGAAATACCAATATTTGTTAATTTGAACACTATGGAGACTGGCAAAATGGTGTGCAGACGAATTTGCGTAGTTGTGGAGTAGGATTTAAACAAATTTATATCATACTCAAATAAAAAGACAACATCATTGATTTATATTATTTATATTTAAAGTAGTGGGTAAATATCACAATATAATTCTTAAATAAAACAATACTCTATTAAATACGCTACATATTCAGTCAAAAATAATGTATACTTTCTGTAAAAAATTCTATACATTTGTAACGTTAGGAAATAAATTTAAATAATACTATTTATATAAAGCTCTGCACCTCATTCCCCATTCTTTTACTTGAATTGATACTTGACAACAACAGTACAAACAGAATAGGAGAATGAAATTTTCACTGAAATTCCCTGCAACATAATAGTTATGTTAGTTATTTTTTTTTTTCATTAATATAATTAATAATTTACCTGTGAATAGTTTTTCAAAAAAAATGTTTCCAATAGATGTGCCAGCAAAAAAGTAAAAATTACTTATTGCTGAAATTGCTAGTAGAATGGAAGCCAAACTAGAAGTAAGTCTCCTTTCCATATTGGGATGTTTTGAGCCAAAATTGAAGAAGCATTTTTTGTACAATTCCTTACAAATCATTTCCACTGAGATTCCCATGAAGTTTAATACTGTCCATATTAAAATATAATTTTGTGTTCCATGCCAAACATACACAAATGTGAAACAAAGACCACTAGAGAATAATTTGTTGATGTATGATTGACTGTATTGTGTTGGTATGTATATATACCTAAAATATGCTGATTAAATAATTTGTCATTAATGGTATTTTGTACTATTACTTCACTAAGAATTTATAAAGTCCCACGTCAAAGTACTTCCACATATCAGAATATAAATGAATGCGTCCTATGCATTTTGGCAGATGTGGTACAGTAACACCTTCAAATTCTGCAAAACTTGTGCTAAGTCCATATAAAATAACATATTTCAAGTGGAAGAATTGTCCCATGGCATAACCATATCCATAAATAGCCCATGGTTGGAATGTCTTTATGTGCTAAAAAAATAAGAATTATTTAAATTTTAATACACTTAGCAAAAATCACTCACCTCAACTTGATATGATATTGCATTAATGTAAATGTAATGTAAGCAATACTCAGTGAAAATAAACCAAAATAATACTCTCAACAAGTTTAAAAATAATTTTGTTGTACGACTAGTTAAATTTCTAAAATTATTCTTAGACTTAAAATCATTGTATCCTACGAAAGGTCCACAAAACAATGTTGGCAAATAAAAGACAAAATTAATGAAATCAAAAAATGTTATTTTATCATTCACTTCCATTTTAATCTTATCTATGTAAAAGCTCAGACATCGAAGATTAATCCAAAATACAGCAATAATTGATGTTATATGCAGTTCTTCGGTTATGCCAACATATTGTAAAGTCTTGTTATCCACAAATTTGTATATAGTTATTATCAACAGGCATAAGCCACAACATATCCAAATCAATGTTATATTTTTAAATTTGCTAAATAGTTGGAACACAAAAGGTTGCAAGACTAACAATAAAAATACAGCAACATTTGTGTAATACAGCAGGAACATGAAAGACAAAACAAGTTGAACAATATGTTTGATCTTTTCTCTCTTTAAGTACTCTGTCATTGCTGAATGTACAATTAGCCATGGAAACAGTTCTTTCAATAACTGACAAATTGTTTCCCATTCAACATCCGAGACATCTCTTCTTCTGTTTATTACTGTCCAGCCATTTTTAAAATCTCCATACACATCCTCGTAGTGTTTAAAATAATCTGAAGAAATAAGGTTAATAATTGAAATAACAACTGTTGCACTTACTATAATTTACCTTCAGTGGCTAAGTAAAAATTATATATCGAATATAAAACCGCACTTATCCAAATAACGAAATAAATACCCGTTTCGTAAACATTTGGAAGACGTTGAACCTTTTTTATTATTGCCATCACTACATAATACAAACTTCCACAACTATCTCAAACTAACTATTGTTGAGGTACTGCCGCCTCCAAAGCAGTTATTCCAAATATATGGAGTATAGGCAACCAAATATACTAAAGATAAACAAATTAGTATAGAGTAACTCAAGAAGATGTCGCTGTTAGTTAAAGTAACTATACTTTTCAAAGTAAAGTTATCATTAATTATTCTTATTTATAGATTATATATATGAAGATTGTTACCTTGAGACAATATTTTTGGAAAAAATTTCTACACTCATTAATCTTTTTTTTCCTCCTGCTTCTTCAATCTAGGAAGAGCTTCTACGTCCTGTCGACGCATTACGCCAATCGCAAAATAATTAATAAATCATTAGGTTTATCTCTGATATAGATTTGTACTTGTAAAGTACAGTGAAACCTCGCTTAACAAGTTTAATGCGTTCCAAATTTCCGGATTTTTACTCGTATAGTGAAACATATTCAAAAATACACATAACATGTGTACACAAGTTTTCAAAATGATGTAACAGGCGCGCAATCCGGGACTTCTCTTCTCATCGTCACTCGTTATGCGACGTTTCGCTCATTAAGCAAGTAACATGTCACATTCTTTCTTCCATTGAAGAAGGAGAAAAATCATGAACATTATTGCGAAATTTAGTACTCGCAAGTACTGAAAATGTAAAATAACTATAGATTTAAAATCCATATCAAAAATTACACAGTGCGGTTTTGATTTATGTGGATATAAATTATAATTGTGTGCTTTTTATTTTTATGCCTTTTTCAAGTACTCTATTAGTCCGGAATATTAGCAAAACCGCACTATGCGAAAGAATGCTGTATTTGTTTTCCTTGATTAATTTAATACATATTATATGTGTTTTTATTAAAATTATTAAAATCTCTGTACTTATTATTATATATGTCTTATTCTTGTTACGTACCTGAGTAAATTCTGCAATACATATATTATTTTTCTAATAAATTAAAATTATTCAATTGTGACATCTTATATACTAAATATGTACAAATATCAAACTAAGTTTTTTTTCCAAAATATCAGAAAAAATCGGCATTTATTTCTTGGATTTGATGAAGAAGTGTATTCATCTATTATGACCAATTTTACGTTTCATCAGAACTTCTTTTCAATCATCTGATGAACTATAAAATTGGTAAAAATAGAGAACAATAAAATCCATAGAGCAATTACCAAATAAATAATCCACCTGCAATATTAAAAGCAGATACTAAAATTCATGATTTTGTTGTCAACAATTAATATTATATAATTTGTTACAAAAAAAAATAAGTGTACTTACCAGTACTTGTAGTAATTTTGTAGTAATTATATAAGTAAATGGGTTACCATGAATCTATTATAATACCCATAACTTAACGATTTGTTAAAAACGAAATTAAAAAAAATAAATAAATAAAAGGATACAAGGAATTACAACATTATATATGTAAATGATTGTAACAATTAAGTAATCATTGTTGTAAGGTTTCTTAAAAACGTGTACTAAATATGTATTTACTTCTTTCAAGAAAAGTGCAACATACTTCCAAATGATATATTTGTTTTCAATCCACGTTTGAAAGATACTACTCAGTGATATGTTTTAGTAACTTTCATACTATTAAGAAAATGTACCTACTCGGGATTGAATAATAGTAATGGTACATTTTGGTGTAATTAGTGCTAATTAAAATAACTCACCTAAGTTGTAATATCCTTATGGAAACACTTGACTAATTTGCAGTTAATAAGATATAAACATTTGAATAATGGTACAGTTTAGTATAAATATTTGAAAAAAAAACTATATATAGGGCTATACTTATCATACTTATATACTTATCTTTGTGAATACAAATTTTCAGGAAAAATTTAAATAAAAAAATAACGCCTAATACTTAAATCAACTGAAAATACTCACTAATTGAAGATATACTCACCTGAGTAAAGTCTTTCAATTCCCATGAGATCTTGCTTCCATTTCCCAGTTATCCTTTCATCATATTATATGAACTTTGAAGTTAGATAATCCCACAAAGATTTCTACAAATAAAAAAAATCTGTCTTGTACTACGAAGAATCTGCAAATAATATCAATAATTAATTAGAAAAATCAGTGACTCAGGGTTATACTTATCTTCGTGATCATAATCCCAATTTGTACATGTATATTCAAAGTCTCATTTGATATAAATCTAAAAAAAATCATTATTCAATATATAAATGTAACTTTTCGTGAAGTAATCTTACATTCTTTTTTGTTACTTCTAAAATATGAGCATCGTCCAATAATCTGTTTCCTTGTATTTCCCATAATAGATGACATTATTTGTGTAAAATCTGAAAAAATACACATAAGTATATATTTATTTAAAAAAATAAGTATAATAATTACCAAATATTCTCTTCTTCAATTCTATAAAAAAAAAATCTAATAAATTAAAATAACAAATCAATAATACACACAGATTTTTAGGGAATATTGTTATTACATTCATAAACATAAATTTATTAATTATAAATAATTTTATACAAAAATTGGATTGAATAAAATCGTTACATTTCAGTCTTATAATATGAACTCATAAAAATGATTCATTTTTTTTTTGATAAATATTTAATATACACAATATATACATAATATAATATCATTTTAATGACAATATATACACAGAATATAATGAATGAGTCAAACAAAAATATATTTTTGTCTATATTTAAATTTGTCTCTACTCTTTTATAAAACCACAAAATAAAATTACAATTTAGTTATACCAAATTTATAGAATCCAGAATCAATAAGTTAAAAAAAAATAAATAGAAATATCTTATGGGAATTGCATTTGACTACTTTTATATGTTAGGGGAGTCATATTTTTTTTTGTAGGAAGATTATTAATTTAGTGGTAAATAAATAAAAACACGTATATAATGAAGATCATACCGACGATAATGAAATAATGCCATGCGTCCACTGAGAGGCTTTGCTCCTTTATCAAGAAGCTATTCATTTCGTCAAAAACAGAAGTGTTCCACTCCTGTTTTTCGCACATTAAGTTTTCCAGTTTGGCCTGTAATTTATAAATTTGTTAGTATCAGATACAACATTGCTTTACTTTATAAGCATTGTAGATACAACATGGCTTTACTTTATAAGCATTTTAGCTAGTATTCATACATTGCTGTGGTTTCATCCATCTGGACTGTCTTAGCGTTCAAAGTTGAAAAATAAAAAATTAAATCTCTAAAAAGCAATGTTTTTACATTTTAATGCTTTTCTCGGAAACTATAATAGATTGAATTGATTCGAAAGATGCATATTAAAGCTGAATGTTTTGGAAATGTAGCTGCGGATGAAGAAATGAAAAATTAAGGCTGTGTTTTCACATTTTAGTGATTTTCTCAAAAACTATAATAGATTAAATTTTCAATGAATAATTGATAGAATATTCAAATTAATGTACTTACTGCTTGGAAGAACTTGAATACTTGAAGATTTTTGATGTAACGAGCTGCAACTGGAAACGTAAATCAATTATATTTGACCTAGTCATCACTCAATGCATCATGGGAAAATATTATAATTACTGCATCTTATTTCAATTCAATGTTTACTACTTATTACTAAAAATTATTTTTACTATAGTTAATAATATAGTATAGTAATATGTAATGCATGTGCTATTATATCTAATTATCTTGCAATACCTGTGAATATCAAGAAACACAAACAATCACTAATAAATCTTTACCTTGCGCAACTGTCACAATACACTTGAATAGAGCCGATCGGTTTGCAACGAACTGAATATAGTTGAAAAAATAGTAGGAAACTTGACGATTGTAACTTTTCAAAATTTGCTTACATAATTTTATGAAAATACAGCAAAAACAAGATATTATTGATAAAAACAACATATGCAATACTTTGTTTATCTATGAAACTATTCAAATACTTTGGCGGATACGCCGGGTATATTTGAGTTTTTACCTCGTATTTACATAAAACAAACTAAAGAATAAATACATTATATAATAAGTTTCTTATATTATTCGCATTATATATTATGTTTACTTACCAATAAAATACATAAACCATATTTTTATTTTCACATTTCTATGCAATACAAATATATGCCACATCACAAAAAAGAAATTCAAATACACCAATATAATATAAATTGTAACATAAACTCTGAAAAGAAATAAATATAATAATAATTCTATATAAATTTAAATAAAAACAAATAAATTATATAAAAGTACCCAAGGTTATGATAGAATCAATATAAATGAAACTATATTCAGTTCACTATAATTTAGCTATGTTCATTGAAATCATTGCATTTTGTTAAATTTGTAAGATTATAATCAATGTTTTTGGGTGACGTGGCAAATAGTTGGTAAAATACTACCAACTGTAATAACAAAATCAAGGTATTGATTTTATGTTGCAAAACAAAAATGAAAACTTTCATGACATTGAATAAAGTCAGATTTACATTGTACTAATTGCCAAAATTGTAGCTGTATTGATTTTATTATACAGAATATTAATTATTTTGTATTTCAAAGAACATAGAGATTCGTGCGTTTATTTCTCTTTTATAATTTGTTCTCTGTAATTTTATTGCAAATGTGGTTACTATTTTATTTAATTATAGTACAAGTACACAATATTACATTTTTAAAGTTAGTAACAAGAAAAAATATAAAAATCGGTTAATTGAACTTTTCTCTAATACTACTACTACTTTTTAGTATGTAATATTTTTCATGGGGGTAAATGGTAAATTCATAAAATTAGAAAATTAATTTTTCTGACTCGACACATATTACGATTTTCATTATAGCGATTTCTTTTTTGTCAAATTTTGTTAAATTTATAATAATGTAATATTTTGTCAATGTCATTTGTGTTATTAATTAAATAATTTTAAAAAATTACCAATTTATTAATTTAACATATTTATTGGCAACACTTATGACCAAACGGCAATGAACTGATGTCTTTCTGTCCAAAATTACCGGTATTTATAGTCAAAATTTACCGGTAATCATATTAACACTCAAACAGAAAAACCAAAGCTCTTTAGCCAAATAATAATTATTTATGTAGAATTATTGTTTTTTGCTATTAATATTTTTTTAATGAAAATTTATATTTTCTGGCCAATAAATTATTTTCATATTCACAATAATATTGTTTAATTATAACTTGACAGCAAATTGATTTAATGTCATTTTTGTGATAGATTTAATAAAATATATTTTAAACAAAAAAATAATTAATTTGTTAATTAATTAATTAGCAAAAACCAATAATACATAAATAATTTTTATATTTGGTTTATATCAGGATTCTGGCGATTTAGGTTGGGAACTGATTGTTGTCGCTATCACTTCCCAATCTAAATGGCACGTTTCAACGGTGCTCTTGCCACGAACTTAGCTGCTGTCTGAATATATGTATGAAAACTTGACAAAAAAATATATATTTTTTCTCGCAGATTATAAATAATTAATTTATTTATTTATTATATAAGGTATATTATATATAATTTATTTATTATATAAGCGCTAAAAAATTTGATATTTTTTCCAATTTAAAAAAATGGTGTAAGCGCCGGGTATATCTAACATTATTATTAAATAGTTGGTAATCCTGGTATAGAAATCATTGATCGTATTCTGCGATTGTAATAATATAAATAACTGAAATGAATATAGCTAAATAACTTTTGAATTAATTATATATTATTAATAGTGGATGCGCCGGGTATTTTTCTTAAAATCTTAATTTTTATATTTGTTATGATGAAATTTTAAATGTAAGAAATATATTATTGTATGAGAATATTATATTATAAACAATATTATGACAAAAATATATTACCAACCAAACAGATACATTAGAATATTGATTTTGTACGTAATTCCAAGAAAACAAGTTGCACATATATTAATTTATAGAAAAGTACAAAATAATTTACATTAGTTAATATGCTTTTTTTATTTCAATATTATTTGGAACAATTATTCAATTAAAAAAATAATTTAGACAACAAAATAAAAAGCATTTTGAACATTTGAAAACTTTAATCAAAATTATATCTTTTCTTTTAAATATTTTTTAAGAAAAATAATTAGGTGGAAAGAAGCTATATAATTATTGTTACATATAATTAAATTAACTTTATTATACACGTAATTAGTAATAATAATATTTATTGAATAAATGAAAATACTTGTTATAAGGATGCACAGGTTTGAGGTATAACAAATAAATAAATAAAAGACAACATATTAATTATTTTTGGGAATTTTTTATTCATTTCATATTAGTTACATTGCGTTGGATTTTATATTTTTATAGGGTACAACATCGATAAAATTTACTTATATTTATATATAGACATAGATGTATATAAATATTCAATTGAGTATATTTATATATATTTATGTATATAATTCAGTCACAACAATATTACATAAAGATACATTCATTTAGGATAGTTGATAAGTATGAATTTTGTGTAGTTTTGTGCCATTTGTTTGGTCTTTACTCTTTCTGATCTTACCAATAGCAGGTGTTATAGTATTTTTATTTGTTAAATAGATTCCAAAAATAGTATTCAATAGACATAATAGAATGTTTTGGCCAGAAGTCTTACAAAGTGTTTTAACTGATATAACAGCAGTTTGTTGAAAAAATAAATATATTAAAGAAAATCCAAAAAAATGAGCCTTACATTAATAATACTGCAATTATATAAATTAGTTTTTTTTTTATGTGAGACAGGTTTTTTTTTGCATATTAAGGTTAAAAACACTGATTTTATTTATTTGAATGAATCATTGATGTATTTCTTTTTTTTTATTTTTGAGTATATATGCAATATTTTGGAAGTTATTTAATGATTCATTCAATTTCATTGCTACAAACGAACATTGAATATTTCCATATATTTTAGTTGATTGCAATGAAACCCTTAATATAAATTTCTGTTTTAGGCCTTGATTCGATCGTGTGAACGGGGTTTCACTACAATTAACTAAATTTATCTAAATAGACATTGACACAACAACTGGGATTTAAAAGCGGTGGGTGTGGACATTTACCTGTAACTTAATTATTTAAATACGGTTAGGGAATTGGCTTCTTCTGCGGCGCTCCAGCTGGAAGTTGTAGCGCTGGAAGCGAATTCCACTCGGCCAGAACGTCAAAGCCTGCATGGCACTGTCGTAGAAGCGTGGAACGCCTACCTTGAATGAAGACTGAGTCTTGCAGCGGATGGACAATTTCTCGACTCTTGCAATGACGCCGTTCATCTTTTCCTTCAAGAAGGCCTCGATGCTCAGAGGTGAGGTGTCTAAGGCGACGTTACCCAAGTACCACCAAGACAAATCTAACTCAGTTGGCTGCATGTAGTGCTTTGTCGGTCCAATGATTATGCTGTTTGGATGGTTACGAGTTCTGTAGATGGTCGATGCCGAATGACCAACATCGAACACGATCTCTGCAACAGTGTTGGCGGTATTCTCCGAAATCCCTGTGGCGTTTTCCTCCACCTGGCTGCTCAATATGTCCATAGCCTTGGCTTCCTCACCGGAGCTGTACGAAGTGGCGCTCGATGTTGGTCTATAGGGGTTGCGAGTTGCAGTGGACATCAAGAGAGCATCCGTCATAGGCTCCAGTTGAACATTCTCTTCGAGCATTTTTATCTTCAAGCTCAACAAGATGACGTGATCCTCAAGCTGGGCGTTCTTCGAGTCCTTCTCCTCGATCAACTTGACCTTCTCTCGGAGCAGCTGCCTCAGCAGCCTTATCTCTTGAAATAGATGCTCGTTGTTGACAGGTAGATAGATGACCTCTGGACGTCTTTGGAAGCTCATCCAACCGAAATCCGCCTCAAATCTTTGGGTGCACATGTGCTTCCTCAAGCAATCCCGATGGAAACTTCTATTGCACCTGAAGCAGGTCGTGTTGCAAAACACAGATTGACTGCACTCTACGCACGCAGGATGTTCAACGGGCACACCTGCAGCAGTAGCCATTTTGTATGTCAAAAATGCACAATAATGCAGAAGCTAATTCCCGGATGCGAAACGAGCTTCAACGAGTCGAAATTTATTTGACAACTTCCTGTTTACTACATTTAAATACACAGTGACAGACCGCGCAGGTCATTCGTCGAAATCTGTCTACCTGCACCCACATACAGGTTCGAATCCTGGCTAGACCAAAAATAAATAAAGAAAAATCGACTGCAGATGTCAAGGGTAAAACTCAAAGATCAGAAATCCTGTACAAGGGTTAATCATTAGAGAAACGCATAAATTACAGTTTTTTCAATGGACAGTTTCAATATACTTTATTAAAATAAATAATACCATTTATAATGATCACATAAATAGGAACGTAAACATAGTGAAATCTCCTTGTAAATCCTTTTAGTATTTCTGTTTGAAATGAAAGCTAAAATTCCCTTGAAGGGAAACAAATCACCAGCAAACATAGTAATCGAAAAAACATATGTTGTAATATTTTGAAACTGGACATAACTTTTTCAACGACAATAAGTTTGCTTCGATATAGACGAACATTTCAACATTGACACTAATTGATTTATATAATACACAAATATTATTTCGCGTATTATATAATTGTTAAGAAGTAATCGCTCTGTTAACCCATTAGTGATTGTTCAAATTTAGTAAAAATATGGCTTTTTTATCAAGATTATGTTCAATTACAATTATGTCCCATATAAGGGACGAAATCACTGATGGGCCAAACAGAGCCAAGGAAAGTGGACTTCGCATTATTTACTTCACATTAATTTGCTTGCCGTTAAATCCAGTTTCCTTAAAGTACAGAAGGACAGCAGTCCCAAGTTCACAAGTACAATTGTATACATATATATTTATATATTACTAATCTAGTACAGTCGTTTTTACAATTGTACGATGGTTACAGACCATCGTTGAAAAACATTTATAAAATATCAGGAGTAAAAATTGGTCCAAAACGCGTTCGAAGAATGAACTTGGATCAGTCTAAACTACTTGGCACTTGGCAAATACAACACATACACCCGTTGCATTCAATAAGTAAATAAGCTCTGTAATTGTTCACATCTGATAGATGGATATGTTGATTGTATATATATATATATTTCTGATGCCGGGAGGTGTTGTATTTCAGAGAAGCGATGTTCATTTCAGTACCGAAAAATGCCTTTGGACATGAAAAGATAAACGTACACTAAGTTTAAGTACCATATGATTCCGTACAGGACTGTATACAAGATACACAGTCCAAAAATTTTTTTTTCCAATATTTTTTTTTTGAAATCATACAGATATGTATAACAATTAGACAATAAAACGAAATAGTTTTGTTATTGTTAACATTCACAACAAACAATTATCGTATACGACTTTAAAGAAATACGCGCATTCACTTTATTAATTTGTCGCGAAGCGTTGCCTCCTGGCACTGTACTAGGTCTCATTTCACAAAATATTTACTTAAAATATGAAAAATTATATTAATCTTCCACAGCAACTGTTTGATATAATCATAAAAAAAAATCTAAAAATATACTTTCAATGTTAATTTAAATCTTGTAGTAATGCGCGTATTTTATTTTCTGGATCCAATATTTGTCCACATTTTTTTTTCTGTCGTACGATAAACCAAATAGGCTATATATATATTTTTTTAGATCATAGTGTAAAGTTGAATATCAAGTACAATATTGACATTTATAATATATTTTGAGATCTCGCGACATTGCGTGCAAGTACATTATTGGGCAAATGAACATTGATGATCCTGTCCAAGATATTACAAAATTTCAATTTTTAACTTGTTTGTTATAGTCAATTTAAAGTATTATTTCAGACCATGGGCAATTGTTGAATAGTAAATATGATCAAGTATAGAAATACAAGAAAAAAATAACCAGTATTTTTAAATATATAAAAGCTATAAACTATAAAAATATGAGTAAATCATATAATTAAATTGAGTATAATTATAACCTAGGTGATCTATATTTGATTTCATCGATGGCAATATGAAATCCTCCATTTCTTCAGAGAAACATAACTAAAATCATATATTTTTTAGTTCCTTATTTGATCTCATCTATAACAAAACAAACTTCCCAATAGTTTGAAACATATATAGATGTAATTTCTGGACGCTAGTACTTTCACACCAGACAAGATCAAGAATGTATATGTTCTTTGTTCAAAAATAAATATAATGTCACCAATAGCTTTAATACCAATCTTGTATCCATCAAAGAATTTCAATAGCAGTAAAATAAAATGTTGGTTGCTTTGTTTCGAGCAGGACTGAATTGCTGTGGGCCCTTAGGTAAGTAGGTCACGAAGAGGAGATAATTCACTTATTATTTGTGGGCCCCAAAAATATTTATACATCTCCAAAAACTTGTGGACCCCAAAAACCTTGTTAGTTCCAAACTGGTGGGCCCACATAAGTCTTGTGCCTAATAAATAAGAGGGTTTAAATTTTTTAACAATAAATTAGAAATTGTGATAATTATATAAGTAATTTTGAAACAGCACAATTTGATCTAAAACATTTCAATCATCATGATTTGGATAATTTTCAAAGTACAGTGTCAAAATATATACCCAATAATCTAGTACATGTCTCATCATACATATTGCACGCATTGTACGTCATATATTTTTAACGCAATCATTAAATTCTACAATTTTTTAAAGTATTTCAGCATAGTCATAAATCTCGTAAAATACAATAAATACTACATTGCATACTTCATTAGCAAATATTTCAAATCACATACAGAAGTACGACATATCACACAAAACAACCAACGTATCAAACACGTTCTAACATTTAGTATAATATATATATTTTTTTCAATGCAATACCGAAGACCTCGAAGTCCCAAATATATTAATAATGTTCTGTGTTATTTTAGACTTTGAGCGAATTGGAAAAAAAAATCATGTACAGTTAGCATATGCACTAATCTTTAGAATCCATTAATCAGTCCTTTTTTAATTGACAGATTTTTAGTTACAAGGACAAATTTTCATGTTTTTTTGTATATATCTTTAATTTGATTCAATTTTTGAAAATACATTAAAAAAAATAATGGTACGTTACGAAATCACATATTTTTTTTTTTAGTTTCATTATCAATAAAATTTGCAAGAAATTTATCAAAAAATATATTATTTAAACAAAAATTAATATTCCATTATAACATTAAAAAGTTACAGGAAATCAATTTTTTTTAATTAAAATATATGATTTGTTTATTCGGAACAATAAACAAATCATGAATATTTTTCAAAAATAAAATTTAAAAAAAGGATTCATTAGTTGTAGACGATAACTGTAAATGAATTTTTCAATGTTATTATAAATTTTGATTTTACATTATTAAACGCATTTTTATGCGCCACGTGGCACTGCTTGTATAAGCAAGATACCACATGACGCTGGACTGGTAGCTAGATTTTAGGTTTTAGTTCATCGTTAATTCCATTAAGTATGAAATAAACTCTTTTAGAATTTTGAACAGAAGTATGAACATATTTGAAAACCATTTTACCTTGTAAACGGTTGTTACACACTTGACAAATTGGACCAACATTGTAAATACGTGATATAACTATGTTTTTTTTAATTGAAATTACAAGAAAATCATGCACATTTAATTTTTGTCTGAAAGATGTGCGGTTGATCAATTATGAATATCAATTTGTAGTATAGAGTTCTACATGTTAGTATACTCTAGCATCTATTACTGGCTCCATCAAATATGAAACAATCTCTTCCAACATTTTGCACACTAAGATAAACATTTTTGATGTCCATTTTAGGCTGTATATAATCATCAAGCACTTGATTAAGTCAAGCACAAACATTATAAATATGACACTATACATTGTAATGCATAGTTCAAACATTTATATTCGCAATTGAATTTACACCGATATGTATAATATATGGAAGAAAATCGTTTGTTGTCATTTGATAAGATTCGGTGGAACATAAAAATAATTTTTATGAAAGTACGCTTTCTTAGCTTTATACCATTAATTGATCAAATTTATAAGTTTCGAGGCAAACCGTCCCCAAAAATGATATCACATGTTCTTAAATGGTGCATCAAGAATTCTGTGATTTCCAACACTTTGCACTGTGATATAAATACTTTTGAGCACCTTTTTACTATAATCTTTAAACAATTCTTAAGATCAATTATGAACATTGCTAATATTAAGCAAAACAATATAGATCTGCAGTTCATTTTGTATGAGTCTTTCTTTCTTCTTCTTTTCAAAGCACAATTATGATCGTTCTTACTTTAACCATCTAAACGTGCCGCACTATAGTTCTGAAGAGTCCAGCTGCAATTCTCTCTTGAAGCTGCGTTAGATATCAGTCTTATCCATCACTTTCTTGTCGTTATATTAATCCTATAACCGTTGAAAATCCTCACAGGTAATCTTCAGTAAATAATCACTTATTTGAGCTTTAATAAGTTGTATCGTCAGTCTCTTAAATAGCGTTGTTCAGTCAAAAAAAATTTAGATGATCTGAAAATATTAGTATATTAATTTACTAATTACTAAAATATGTATTTAACTTACATCAAAAATATTCATTTTTTTAAATAGATTTTGATATTTCGCATCTCATCTGGTGGGATTATAATTCATTGTGAATTGGACATGGTTGAAGATGTTTTTTTTTAAGATAATGTCCAGTAGGTGAAGATGTAAAATCTTGTTGCACAATTTTGAATTTGTTGGTTGGCCACAAAATCCACGATATAATCCAACGTGTCGGATAATAGTTTGGTGGTTTTCTTTAGTAATCTGTGCCACATTTTGTCGATGATCTAGTTTACTCAATTAGTCAGTAGAAATCGGTGCGTATATTTATAGCAGTCTCCTATAAAAAAAATAGAAATACAGTCAAAAATAATATATATTCATGAGTAGTTCATAACTTACAAACCTCCAATAAGTTCGAAAATTTCTTGATATATGAGCTTTATAACATCCAGTATGGCGTACATTTGACCTAGGCAATTCCGGAAATGAATAACAACCAAGTTTATAAGTTCTTCAAACATATTTGATTTTTAAACTGATGTCTTAGCAAATGTCAAATTTCCTATAGGAAAAATTAAATATATGAAAATTGTTATTTTTAATTCAATTTCGTTTTTTTTTAATTTAATTTTTATTATTTTAATTCAATATCTTATGGTAATAATAATACTGAAAATATGACCAAAAAAAATATTGAATTTCTTAATATTTGATTTTTTTGTAATGCGAAATCAATTTTGAAAATAGTTTTGTATTAAAATAATAAATTTCTAAATTTGATAAGATAATATAAAAATAATTAACATACTTGAACATACAAAGTACGCTTTTTACTGAAGAAACTGGAAACTAAAAAATACATATAATTTATATTAAAATAATAAGTAATATTTTATAACTGTTAATAAAGAAAAACAAAGCTACCTTTTAAAGACGATGTGAGTTCTTGGGACGCTGTAGAATCTTTGTAGAATTCTAAGAGTGGAGGGATTAGATCTTTGAGAAGATTTCACGATGTTTTGGGGGGGCAGGTGGGAAGTTTTCGTCTCTAAAAACAATCTTGAATTTATGTCATCATTTCCTTATAGTTGTAGTATTTTGTTCCAAACTTTCTGAAATAGGTCCAAGTACACTGAAATATTTAATTGCTATATGTAGCGTCCAATATTTCACTTTTTTTAAGTACTTAAGTTCTTAAATCTTTGATTCAATGTTCAAGGGGAAATTTCACTAAACTCAGCAATATTATTTAGTTCTCAATAAAATGTTTGAATTGTTGCTATAAAGTTCAAGTTTTAATTGGTTTACGGAGGAAGTTTATAATTGTTTCCGATGTTTAATTAGTCAGGTAGAATTAGTTCACGTTGTCAGGTAGATTTAGTTCACTTTGTCAGGTAGATTTAGTTCACTTAATGAAGAATTTCCAGTTCACTTATTAAGGTAAAAGTAAGATTTTGTTTCAAAGTAATGCAAGAACAAGGGTTTTACACTGAAGCAACAAATTGAAAGTCAAAATTTCATTCAACGATTATAGTTCAACCGATATTGTTTATGCAATTCTTAAATGCCTTTCAAACTGCGCACAAAGTTTACTTTTAACCAGCGATCCTTGAGCGAATTGTCGTTTAAATGTTGAAGGTTTGGGTGGGATTGTGCCTTTATTGACTGGGGAAATGGATGTAACTTCGTTGAAGAAGAGATCTTCTAGAAAAGTTAAAGCATTGGTTGGTTGAAAACTGGTAATTTGAAAAGGGGTCGGCGATTTCAATTGAAGTTTCTTATGACCCATGGTTGTTACACTTGTGTACACGAAGCACTTTCAAGTTTAGTAACGTTTCCTTACGTTCCTCTTCAAATTTCCTTGCTTGATTTCCAGTTCTATCAATTTTACATCCAAAGGACATTTGTTGCTTACTTCAACGGTCAATTTACTGCGGTCCAATCTCACGTCTTTATCAACGTCTATAACGACCGTCAACTCAATGTTCTTTTGGGATTTACACTTGCTACACTTAAGGTAACGCGCAAACACTTTGTCTATTTTAATCTTATCACTGCGAGCCTTTTCCCTTATCAGCATAGGGGTCTTGTTAATAAGCTGGAATTGCACTTGGTTTAAAGTGAAACTAACATACTCCTCGATCTTAACAGTGTTGAACTTTAGGACCTCCTCTCGCTCAGAGTTGCTCTTGAGAATCCTCTTCCTGTAGGTAATAAATCGCAGGTAGATTTCCATTCACAGGCCTGGATCTTCGACCGAAGTCGTCCTTAGTTCTATCGAGGAAAAAAATGGCCGCCTATTGGCTGTTACCTCGTCCAATCGATTTGTACCAATATATGTCCAATGGAGAATCTATATATACAATACGGTTACACAACAATTTAGACCTATGAATGTTCATGTTATTTTTTCAACTTACCAATCTAGGGAAAGAAATTGGTGGTATCCTCGAAGGAGGAACCTACAGTATATTTTCCGTAAATCAATCATCTCGTTGTTCAAAGCGAGCAAATTAAATTTGGAACTCTAAAAGAGAAAGGGCGTTACCCAAATCAACTCTATTAAACTGATGATTCAAGTACTTACATGACAATCAATGAAGTTAAAAATATAGAAATAAATTTAAAAAAGAAAGAAATAAAAGAGTTTTGACAAAGAAAATCCGAACTACTGCTTTTAGATGTCTTCAAATGTATGTATTTCTCTTATGGGCCAATTATTAAATCAGTATAAATACATAATGAGGAACGATCATTAATTGAACTGAATAAAGCGGAAAGTTGAACCTAAAATACAAATGGTAATTAATCAATCGGCTTTAATTACGCGTGAATATGCATTATCACTGGACTATGAAAGGGTGGATGCTCGAATCTTGTTAGCCATATCTCAAAATGGAAGGTGTCAAAGCTTTAATTCTTATACAGGTATTGTCTACTACTTCTCTAGCTTTGAGTAATTCGAAATTGCTTACCAAGTAACTGGTGTACCACAGTATAATCACCAATCACTAATATATTATAAATATGATTACATTCGACGCTATCCGCAACTTAAATCATCCACTTCTGCAGATGCAGCTACGGGATGCGACCCAATTATCGATTGCTGGAACATAAATCTACCGGGTGTTCTATGCATTTATTTAACATGCACGTGGAACTTTTTAAGCCTAACATCTTACAGAAGTCGAACTCTAAACAAAACCGGATGCAAAACATTACATCCACGTGGACAAGACCCAAATCTTACGTAATTTCAAACGTTCGTAATTTTGTTTACCTTCTTTGCATCATATGATGTAATTGACCTTTGACATATAAAAATATACACGTACATATAAATATTAGAGATGTGCATCTATATAATGACATTTATATAAATGATTTTTTTTTATAAATTGTTTATAATAATATAAATAATTTAAATTTAATAAATTAATTGATAAATATGAAAATGTCTCAAGCTTAAATTTAAAGCAAATCAAATAGATGAGGTTTTATTGGTATCATGAGATTACTATAATTCTCACAAAATATTAAAGTAACTTTGTTATTGCCAGCTGTAAAGGTGAGTTATTATATTTTTTTTCTTCTTAGTGTTTGCTATTATTTAAATTGAAGTAAGTTAAAAGTTTAAACTTATAATAATGGGAAAAAAAGTAATAAATTAAGTAATTAATAAATTAATTGTTAATAAATTAATAACAAAGTTTGTATTAAAAGGTTGTATAAATAGTGAACAAATTGACAACAAAATTATTGAAAGTTCAATGGTTTTTAGTATTTTTTTTATGTATGCAATAAATTTTAGTTATTAAAACAAATTCTTTTATTTTATTGCATTGTTTATGAAATAATTTTAACAAATGGTTTATGTATTTTTTTTATAATATATTTTAATAAAGGGATGTGAGGGACAAGAGGTTATGATTTTTTTTTCGTTTAATAAAAGACATGATTATGTTCTTCAATTGATCTATTTAACAAAAAAAGTCTATAAATAATTTAATTTGCAAATAAATTATTATTAAATATCAGAAAAATAATATATGCTTGTATATATCTATATATTAAAAATAATTATCTATATTTAATAATATTTAGCGCAGTAGACAAAGAAGAATAACGAATAAAGGTGAATGAAATTATTACCGGCTTGTAATGAATTATCTGTTGTAGTTGGCCACAAATTTCATTCCAAAAAAGAAAAACAAAACAAAAAGATTACAAAACTAGAGAACAGCGGCTCTGATATTAATTAATACAGTCTTCATCGATAGAATGGTAGTTAGTATACGTTCGAGGCACATTTCGGATTCACGTAGATTTTGGCTTAGACAAAGTATGAAATATATTCATGAGGCATGACGCCTCTTCTAGGATAGAAGGTATGATTAACGGAATAATTGAGAAGATTCGTAATGTTAGAAGTATAAATATCAGCAAATCGGAAGAGACGACGAGAGAAGTAAGTTGGATTATGGTAAGTGCGGAAGACGCTACCGAACTGTTCGTTGAAGACGCATTTGATATCATTGCGTAATTTATCCCGCTCCGCCATCCATTGGGCCAACACAAACTGCTCGAGTTCATCCTCGCAGTCCTGATTATCCTCGATCAGTTGAGTTAGCATCTGAAGCCAATTTGCGTCCTGCTTAAATTGATCCTTGTTCAATGTCTCGATCTCGTGCTAAACAAACAATACAAATAATACAAGATAGTAAAAAAAAATAACAAGAAAACTCACTGACAACTCGTTGATGATGGCTCCAGTCCTCCAACCGTGCTCCAAGGTGACGTCGGCTAAATCGCTGTAAGGATGATCCCCAAAGTAGAGGACTTGATGACCGCGCCAACCAGTCAACTCTTGCAACTGTTTAACAGTACCTTCATAATAAATAGTGCCCTTTTCTAACTTGGTAACTCTGTCCCAAATGTGAGTTCCGCTACGCTCATCGTACACGCGGATTGGTCTAGACTCATCAGTAAAGAACCTCGGCTTCCTGGCTTGGACAATGACGACATCGAAATAGTCCTTCCAGTTAGTACCAACTAGTAATTCCATGCCCTTGTTGCTGCGTAAACGAAACAAGGACACATGAATTTATGGAACGGCGAAAAAAGTTTAATTGTTGCGCTTACACGAATTTGTAAGGGCTGTTCGTAACCAAGAAGAGCTTCTTGTCGGCACTTTTTAGACGATCAAAGAAGTACCGTAAATCTTTGTTGTCCTCTATGTAATCGGAGACGTTCTGTGACACGATCTTGTGCATCACCGGATGCGAGCTCTTCACAGAACTCTTGACGTCTCTGAACAATATCTCAGGATGATAGTCTATGTGGTTGCGCTCAAAATAATCAGCTACATTGCAGAGCAAACCCATTTCGGGAACGGAAAATAAGTCAGCTAGTTGAACCATCTTCGAATGAGATCCCTGCAAAATTAGCTAGAAAATTGATTAGCTTACACATAAATGATAAATGAATGTGTTGTTAGGTCTAAAATATGTTATGTAGTTCAACATAAAAAAAATATTCTTATTTTTTTTTAACAATCAATTTATAATTTAGTAGAATTATGTCATTTTTCATACTATAAAAATATTAAATCATTGTTAAAAAAAGAAATTATCACATACGAACCCCATCTATTGCTATATGATAAAACAAAAGCATTTTTATTTGTTAATACACATATATTAGTCAAAATCCATTGAGATTTTTTAAACAAGGAAAGATTTGACACCAGTTGTGTTTATATTATCAAAATTTTATTTTTCTGTATATAAATTATATATGAATATGCATTATTTCTCTAACAGATTATTAAATATCAATATATAACGTATTATGACCACTGGAATGATGATATAATAGGGTGTACGCTCCCCTCGTTGACTTTTAATAGACTAAATGTAGGGGTTCACAAACATTCGCTTTGAAAAGATCCTTGAAATCTCATAACCATTATACTATAACTGTCAGCATTGAGATTGGTAGTTTATATTCATAATATGACCTTAGAGAGTGCTTTTGATGGTAACATTTTACCCATTTCCTAAAGGACTTTAGTACTTCTTAATTAAGTTTTGAGAAATATGAGCAATAAATCAGGAAAATCATTATTAAAATATTAGTGAATCCGGACTGATCGAATCCGCACTATGAGAGATATACGAGACTATAAAAATTGGAACTATAAGGAACAAATTCCCTAGTGTCATATTAAATGGTATTTTTCATGTTGAGACCATAAAAGTGTTCACCCCTATTCTACCCTACATTAGGTCGCCGCATACAAACAATTATTTTCTTTTCCCCCTTTGTACTATATAAATAGACCATCATCTAATTAATTTATTTTATTTCTTATAAATACTATTATTATTTTCTTAATTAATCTTAATTAATAATATTTAAAATGTATTTCAACGTAGAATTGGATTACGTTTTGTGATCCAAATAATATATACTTTACTAAAAAATATAGTCCCTACAAACTAGGAGGGTTGCACCCCTTAGAGACCTTTAATATCCCAACACTAGGGTGTAAAAATATTTGGTTAGAAAGGGTCAATCCCTTTTATTACCAGTATAATACAAGTACCACTAATCTCATGCATAATCTCCTCAAGTGTTTACTTATGTATTACTAAAAATGCACCAACTTGTTAATTTCTAGATAGATTTTTTTACTTATTAATAAACTGTCCTTGGCCTTTCATGTATGTATAAATTTTTATGACGCGGTACTCTATCCTCTTATTCAATTATGTTTTATACAACGTCCGCTCAAACCTATACAGTGCTATACATTGTTACATAATTTAATACAGTCATCATTTCCAAGATAGCAAAAGAAGATCTGCAGATGCAAGCTTATTTCCTACTGCTATGCTTAATTAGCACATTGCTTTTCTCCTCTACAATAGTAAAAATTATTGGTTACGTATTATAATTAGTACGTTAGCAAAAATATACATCGACTGTAAATTATTTATACAAATAGGTTATGGTTTTATCACTGGGTTGTGGAATTATAGTGAATCCTATACATTATAATATTACAATCACTCGATTTTTCTTATCTGACGCACCCCTTGATAATAAAAAATATATGGAAATTTAATAGGGTTTCACACCCCTTTAGAAATTTACGACTCTCTTTTAAACCCAGCAATAATTAAATATAATATTGTAATTAGACAAAAACAACAATTTCAGTAATCATTAAAAATAATTAACATATATGAATATGCATAAAATAGGCTAATGACCGAAGTCTTTGTTGTTTCATATTAATTTTAAAAAAAGCACACAGAGCGTAAATTTTGTGATAATTAACTCATAAATAAAGAATTTAAATCTCAATTTCTTATATTTATTTGTTCAATTATCACTACACTTTTATCTATAAATATTGTTATCAATTGCAATCAATATCAATCTATTGCTACTACGAATTCAGTTGAAAATAAATTTAGTTGTGATCATACAGTTGCTTAATTCTACTTCGAAATAAGTTTACTTATTATATAATGAAATGATTCTCGAAATAAGCGAATGTATTATATCTAGAAGATTTACTGTAATTACGTAAGTAAGTAATTACGTAACATATTTAAAGTAGATTAATTTACAGCATAAGATTATTTGCAATCATAATTGGAATATATGATGCATTCATAAATCAATAAATAATTACTGAAAATAACAATTAACTTGTCTCCTGTTTGTACAGGCCTTGACATAATTATGAAGTTTTATCATAATTGTGTCACAATTTTGTATTTTGCTGTTAATAGCGAACGTCGCTGTTGGTCTTAGTATTATAGCTTGACCTAAGATTATAAAACTTTGATATTTTGAAAATAGAATTGATTATTTTTGTTAATTGGTAAAATTTTATTAATTTTGTGAGAACAAATATCAATAATGAATCAGATTTAGTGGTTGTTACTTGATTGGTGTGAGAAATGTTTAGAAAGAAAATGTAATGAGTATCTACCTGGCCACTTTTAGATTGCCCTTCCACATAAGCTATTGGTATTATTCTGTTCTTGTATAAATGCAAGACTTCCTCAGTGGATAATGGAGTCAAGCCTCTATACACAGAGCCAAACTGTATCTGCAGGAAAGAATCCAACTTGAGGAGTATGCCTTTCTCAATATCATAATGAAGGCCTCTAACTGCAAATCCTGGCTTGTACTCCAATTTACCAATCTCTTTAGGATACTGCATATGGAAAAAGAAAACAAGAAATAGAAGGGTTGCCTAGGCATGTACAAGATCATGTGTTACCTTATATTGCTCGATTAAAGTCTGCCTTGCTAAGTTATAAAGAAGATAGTCCATGGAAGGCTTGTAGCAAGCAAGGGTGTAATCATAATCGAAGCCATAAACCTTGACTTCCTTCAGATCAAGCTCATTGCAAGCAAACACAGCCTTCACATTAACATCTTTGGGAAGCTTCTTGGCTGTAATCAGTATGTTTATTATCGTAATTAATTGTGAGGAACGAATGAGGTTAGATCCGGCTGGTTACGGTTCAGAAGGAAAGGACAATGGATTGTGTTTTTTTTTATCTCGTTCCGGTGATGATATAAGTTCATGACACTCACATTTGCACTTGTCTTTGATCCTCTTGTAAGCGGCTTCCAGGCGAGCGACGGTGTGGGTCCTTCGTTGTCGCTTACCTATCCATTCGAGTCCTTCCCCAAGGAACAATCTCGATGCATTAGAAGAGCGCACAAAACCGCATAGCATCATATCGATCGAGAGCAATCGAAATGTTGTCAATTTTCATTCGAAATCTGATTCGCTAATCCCCTATCCTATTGCCAATTACGAACCATCAAGAGTTGCGACGCATGCGTTGCATAGTACATCTGATTAAATGTTATTATTTATGAACTTGAAGGGCATCAAAGGCTATTTCTAGTTGTTAGGAAGGACACCACGTGTTGCGAATTACACCGGATTTCAAAATTTCGCACTCAATCAAAAATATATTATTAAAAAAAATCTATCAAAGGAAGCAAAAAAAAGAAATATGATGGATATTTGTATTATTAAAAAAAAAAAACGAGTTAGGTTGGAATTATTTCTAAAACATTTATTAAGTTACAATATATTCCAAATAGTATAAATTATAACAATATGGTCGTTATGCGAAAAATAAAATGCAAATGCAATAACAAAATAGAGTAGGAATGCTTTAAAATAGACGCTTTTCATAGTTAAATAAACCATGTACGTTTCCTTCCAGTTGGGCAGAATAAGTTCTCCTTTCAAATTTCAATTCTCCCACGTACATCAACCTCCTGAAATGGACAGTTTTAAATATTTTATATAATTATTTAGAAGGTCGATAATTACCTGAGTTCGGTTAATGACATAGTACCGATATCTTGAAGACCGTGCCTGAGACCACACTGCAAATACGGCACGAATCTGTGGACAGATCCCTTATCGACAATTGAACCGCTGACTCCTTGGGCGACTTTCATTTTATCCATCTCGCTGTAAAGAAAACATAAATAATTATGCACATTAAATTTATCGGTTGTTGGGTTCAAATTACTTGTGGAAGTATCGGTTCATTGCAGAACCCATGGCGTCTTTCCTGTCCATGGCTTCGAGACTGCCCATACCTCTATACTTCTTCAACCTGACTCCATCTGAGAAAAAGTATTCACCTGGGGCTTCGGAAGTGCCCGCCAACAATGATCCCATCATAACTGAAAGTATAGAATTTAGAGATGTTCATTTTTACATCATAAAACCTTTTACCTGTAGATGCGCCCAATGAAAGCGCTTTCGTAATGTGGCCAATGGATTGAATGCCACCATCGGCAATTATAGGAACGCCAAAGTTCTTTGAGTACTCAGCTACCTTATATACAGCAGTTGCTTGTGGTCGGCCTACAGCCATCACCTCTTGTGTTATGCAGATGCTTCCGCTGCCCATGCCTACTCTCAAAGCGTCAACTCCTGCTTCAATTAAGTTTTTGGCTTGTTTAATTGTGACAACATTGCCACCGATGACTTGAAGTTTTGGATACGTTTCTTTAATGAACTTAATCATTTCAATTTGGTACACTGAATTTCCTTGTGACGAATCCAATACCACGACGTCAACACCAGCTTGGGCAAGGATGCCCAAACGTCTTTTATCCTCAGGCCTAGTACCGATGGCGGCTCCCACAATGAGTTGCTTGTTCTCATCCTTCGACGCAAAAGGATAACTACGAGCTTTCTTTAAGTCGGTGCGCGCCATCAAAGCTACTAAATTGCCTTTTTCATCAACGATTGGCAGTTTTCCTTTCTTGCTCTTTTCGAGAATAGCATTAGCTTGTGGCAAATTAAGACCCGCTTGTCCAGTCACTAAATCCGTTGTCATCACCTGATCCAAAGTGATCTTTGTGTAGTTTGATCTACCTTCCATGAAATCGATATCACGGGATGTCACAATTCCTACCAATTTACCACCAAGTTTGCCAGTGTCGGTAATTGGAATACCGCAGAATCCTTTTTCTTTTTTTACGTTCAGTACATCTTGAACTGTATTTGTTGGACACAGCACCACTGGATCATGGATAAATCCATGCTTATATTTTTTGACCTTTTGTACCTCATTGGCCTGGTATTCTGGCAAGCAATTGTGATGTATAATACCAATTCCTCCACAGAGAGCCATAGCAATGGCCATGTTAGATTCAGTTACTGTGTCCATTGGAGAAGAAACTAGTGGTGCTTTTAATATAATATTTTTTGTCAACTGAGACGATAAATCCTAAATAAAATAAATCAAATATATATAATTATATAAAATCAACGAGCATAAAAGTTATAAAAATACTTACCACTTGGTCAGCAGAAAAGTTAATGTATCCAGGTAAAATTATAAAATCACTAAAAAAATAAATATTGACAATTAATAATGAACTGAAAAGTATTATTTATATATTACTTGTAGGTAAGGCCATTGCCGGATGTGATCATCTCTTTGGCAGTCATGCCATCTTCAGGTAAATTGTCCATATCACCGTTGGACATCTGAAATGTGTGAATTTGCAATGTTATCAAATATTCCTTGAATAAATAAACAAAATTCTATATTTAGCAATGTTTACGAAATTTATAAATAAACAGTACATCTAAGCAAATAAACGATTCTGCTTTAAAACAACAATAAATAAGTTATTTTGCTTACACTACGTTCAATTTATTTTCAATGTTTTCTTAAAAGATGGTCGAATGTCTGACATTAATTTCAAAATACACTTTACGACGAAGGGTTTTTAAACATTTCGCGTGTTACAAGTAATTGCGCATTTCTTAATGAGCAGCTGAACATTAATTACTTAATGTCAACACGTAAAGCACGCAGAGCTCCGAAGTTTTACTAAGAACCGGTTGCTCCACGTGCTGATGAGGTTATATTTAAGAATCAATAACATTAAAATTCTTGAGAACAAATAGGATTTAAAGACACCTACCTTGTTACAATTTAAAAAATAAACACTCTTATATTTGTCAAACGATTAAAATTAAATTATTTTAAAAAACTGAACGTTTCTTGTGTACTTAACAACGTTCGTGACTATAATCTGAGGTTGCACGATGGATTTATAGCAGGTATATTTCAGTAGACTTAGAGAGAGCGCGTGGTGCACAGTTTCATACCACTGTAGCCAACACTTAAAAAAAAATAGAAATTAGCAAGACCAAACCAGATGGTTCTTCATAACTTCCGGTCAAAGCTTATTCCTCATTTAAAAGTATTGCGTTATATTTATAAAAATATATTAATAATATCAAAGAACTTTTTAAAAGACCAGTTTGCTTACTCTAAGCTGATACACTGCAGATATAAAAAAATAAATAATCCCTAAATAAAGCAAATTCATTAAAATCAAATTATTATTTAAAAAAGAAAACTCAATTTCGCATGTTCCTCGGTGTATATTCGTATTATAATACAATGAAATCATTATACAAATGTGTATAATTGTATCATGGACCTATTCACTTGTAGCCACATGTCAAATGCATATCATAGATGTGCTATGATCTGGATGGATAAAAATGGTAGAGAATTGCCGTTTGGTTATTTGAAATAGTAATGAATTATGCTTTAAACAATTTAGACTTTATATTTATATATAATATAAAAAAATAATAATTAATGACGAATATCAAATTATACGCAATGTTACAGAAGACGTGAAACATTTTTTGTCATAGTTTGTTCTTATCTAATTTGTTGCTTAAGCTTACTGACTATGTCATGTCATTTAGTCAAAGAAATTAAAAAAAAATACAGATCGCGTAAAAAGGAAAGTCTCTCTAGGGCATAAAAACAGAATCTTGTATTGGTGTTACAATTAATTGGTATTACTTTTGCGGTCCAGATGCAGAACAACACTGTTACAGACATATACAGACGGATACATTTTGGGGGTGTATGTTTGGAACTGGGGGAGTTATATTTGGGGGCCGGGTCTTTCATATTATTACTTTTTGCATTGTTTATTTGCAAGAAATTCTGTAAGGTCAGATCATGTCTCGCACACATTCGGTGTCCAACGCTTGGATGAGGCACCTCATGAAAGCCATTTCTTTTCTCGCGTTATCAAACATGGTACGCGGATCGCTGGCCGTGCATTTCAGGCAGTTCGGAGCGAAAACCATTGCCAGGTTCGAAGCGTCCATTTTGGTATGTTGCACTACTTCCGGCTTATTGAATGTCTGCAGGAAGCGTACCAGATAGCACAAGACCAAGCGATGTAGTGTAGGTAAACGTAGTACTAAATCACAAGCTCTTCTAGTAGTCATAGGTTCCGCAACGCATTCGGGATAAAGGATGTCCGGTATCAAGGGCTCGTACAGTTCCCTCAGCCAGAGCTTCAACAGGTTGGCTGGTACGTGGGCGTCGCTGGGTTCGCTCAGCTCCCACCTGTCCATCTGCCCCTTCAGCCTAGCTACTTCATCGACGTCCGCAGATACGCGGAATATACCTTCCGTTCTTAGACCTTGCAGTTTCAGCACTTGTTTCGATAGCTCCACCTGGGGCCAAGGGAGTTTCCGGTTCGGCCACCGGGCTGCCTGTAGCTGCATCACTTCCCTAAGAGTGTTGCCGAATAGACTAGCTTGGAAGATTTGGGTTCGTGCTGCTTCGATGTCGTCCAGCTGCGGTCTGCGAGCCGTCTTCTTACCGCCGGATCCAATTCGCTCTAACCTTTGGCACGCTACAGTCGCGTAATGGTTCACCTAAAACAAAACGTTGGGCATTAAATTTTCAGACACCTTAACTACCGGTAAACATACTTGTACGTGTATGGGCCATCGGCTTACATCTGGGAAGACTTTGGAAAACGTAGGATTCCTGTGTCTGTTCAAATAGCCCAAAAGGGCTGGTTGAAAAGTAGGCGATGGTGGAATGAAGTTCAGTGCAATGGTCAACAACTCCCAACCGCGCAGTAGAGATTCTTTCTGGTTGTTCTGTGTCGTTTGTCGACACAGTTGCACGTAAAGTTCATCTCTTAATAAGGCTTGCGTGTGCGCTGCATTGAGGATTTCAACGAGGACCGAATTTAGAGAAACGTCGGGCCTTGCCTTGCGATCTCCCATGTACACTTGAACATGTCTGAACATCTCTAACGCCTGCTTGGTTACCGTCTTGCTGGATGCCAACAGTGGCCTTTGAAGCGCTCTAGATGACCAACTCAAAAGATCGCGTATACTTGTTTTGCGTCTGAATAAGCCACGAGCACCTAAATTCAAATTATCCGCAGCAAACTTCTCCATATCCGCTTCCCGCTCTGGCTGAAACGGCGGCTCGGCCAATGGTTTAAGAGGTGGCGCAGGAGCTCTTTCCCTAGGTGGCGGCTCGGTGACTGAAGCTGGCAAATTAAGATATTCCACGGGGCGCAATTTATGCGGCAAATAACTGCCTTCTGATTGATCTGAATCTTCATTATCTGGTTCATGTCCTACAAATAAGCAAATTTAATTAATAAAGTAATAATTAAATAAAATATATTTTACCAGTCAAAGATTCACTTCCACTATCTGAGTGTTCACTATCTGAATCTCTGCTATTGTTAAGTAGAAAATTTTCGAGGGGTAGAAGATGTGAGTCATGCCAATTTGAGTACAGTGGTCCTTCTGTGCTGCGTTGACTGAAACTGCTGCTTCTACAAAGTTCACTGGATTTGCGTCGAAATTGTGGTGTGCTAGCACTCAAACTCAACACTGGACCTCTGCCAGCTGATTCACCAGTTTGTGTTGATTGGTGACTTGTAGCTGCCGGAGTGCAATCAGTATTGTGTTTTAATGTTTGCAATTTGGCTAAAGGTATAATATCACAGTTACTTGGCTTATGCCAGACTGTTATCTGAGTGCTTGCATTATAGTAATAAAATCTTGCTGTGTTTGAGTCGAATAGTTCCCACCACTGATTCGAGTCAGTCCTCTTCACTGGCACTCCTTCTGGTGGATCCCACACACACTCTCCTGTGGCTAAATTTGCGTACATATGCTCCCCAGTCTTGGGCTCTATTATTTCCACCCATTCTACCCTAAAATACAAATTGTTTAGCGCGGGTGTGTCTACGAAAAAATATTGATTAAATACTGCCTGAATGTGCTAGAAGCCATTTTTTAACATAATTTGTACTGCTCTGGGATCTTTAACAACCTTAACCAGGAAACATTGCATGGTTTAAACGTAGTTTCGATGTCCTTAATGCATTCTCCTTTCACACTTGTCTACTACATTTCACCAAATCTATACATAATAAAAACAAAACCATAACAAGCAACGACAATTGGTATTATTGACCTACAATCAACTGAAGTGGGCCACCGCTACTTAAATACTACCAACCAAAACTTATTTCTTTCTATTGGCAACGCAGCTTGACCATCTCCAACTTCAGTTCAGATAATTCAAATATTTATTGCTTCAATCATTTATTTAGTTATATATTACATATGGGCATAATTAGCTAATATTAATACTAAAATATTTCTCTAATAAACCGCGATTTAAAATAATACAATACTTTTTATACATACATGTCTACAATATAAAAATAAGTTATTGTTCATTAGAATTGTTTTAAAGCTTTATGTGAATAGAAATCCTCTTCGTGGTTCAAATTCATTAGCTACCCCATATTTTAATTTACATCCTCACAGCCTCAGAGATGATAACTAGAAGATTTCCTACTCATGCTATGGATTCGCCGTTTGTAGATAAATTGCCGAAATCATTAATACTAGAAGATCCGTAATGTATCGAAGTAGCACCATTATCGGAATGGACCAAATTTTCAGAGCTGATAAGGACAGGTGCAATATACTGGTCATGGACTTCCGGGATGTTTGCTATGCTGTTATTTTGTTTTGGAGCACACGACGGGAACGGACTCAGCATGAAAAAGAAAAATAGGGTAGAAAATAGTCCAAGTAATGTTATAATGGACATTGTTGTTATTCCTCCTCGAACGACAGCGAAGGCGGCCATCGTAAGCTGCAAGATGAAGATGGCTACTCTAACCATTGTAACTGCTGAAGCATGTATCTGTTGGCCTTCTCCGCACATTGTAATCGGTTTGTAAACGTAGTAAATGTTGTGCTTGTCAACAAAATGTTTTAAGATTAAATACAGCATACCGAACGGTGTTATAAGAGGACAAATCAAACTGTAAACGGTGGTAACGGTAAAGATCAGCAAGCTCCAGGCGTAGTGGATTCCGAAAGGAAACACTGACAGGATTTCTTTCCTTAGCGAACATTTTTCCGCAGAAGATCTCATCAAGAGCAATCGCCATACGTACATAGCCAATTCCGGGAATCGCAATAGCTCTAGTGCAGTTCCAATAAGCGCTGACGTGATTACGTAGTTCACGAAGAACGCTCCTTTGTCAGGTAGAAATATGCAATCCCATCGAAGCGTTTCATTTGTTGTATGCAAAGATGATTCCAAAAATGCTTGAGCGCTGGTTAATCCAAGCGATGGTAAAATTAATACCATGAAAAGGAGAAACGTAAACGTTTTAAGCATGGTGTCATGGTTCTGTTTGGATTTTGTCCAATGGGACATCCATTGATCCGTGTAAGCTACAAACACTGGTAACACGGCTGACATGGTTAGCAGCAGAAGTGTGGGTACAAATTCAGCTAGAATTGGACTAAACGACTTCATAATATTCTCTTGTACTGTTGTATGCGTATTGATCATATTGACAATAATAGCAGGCGTCGTTAAGAAGAAAAGCGATATGAATAGTATAGCATTAATAATAAATGCTTTGGAGTACCAGTATCTAGTAGATATTTGTAAATTTTCCCAATTAATGTCGGATGGTGATGGTGCTCTCAACATATTCCAATTTCTCAATGTTCCTGGTTGAAAGGTGTCAATGATGCACTTCGCTTCATTCTCAGTCTCCACTGTTACAAAGGCAATACCCAATGGAAATCCAACTGCTTTTGCTCTTTCTTGTATAACTAAATTAGTTAACCTTTCTTCTTCCTGACTATAAAAATTCAAAGCATTCACAGTCTTCCATGGACAGCAAAATATGCAACCTATTGGTTGTAATTTCATATTAATTTCGTGATTAGTAAGGCAATACATTCTGGCATCGTGTGATTTTGCACGCTGTTTCTCAATATCCATCAGACGTTTAATCTTATAGGCAATTTTGACGTCTTTAATTTGGATAGTTGGATATCTCAAAGCAAAGTAACTTTTTATATCATCCTCATTTCTGTGACTACGTGAAATATGAGTTACCATAACTGTGCGCGAGGATAATTTTGTGGTGCTTGGTATTCTACTTGAACACCTCCTCATTATCAAAACAGTTATTGGAACAAAGGCAAAAGATGCAATGACATGCACCCAAAGCAATAATGAAGTAGGCTCCAAATTACTTAATGTTGTATGCCCAAATGTATATTCATTACCTTGCAATGTGCCTTGGAAATTCACTGGCAGTATAATAAATATGGATACTGCTGAAATAACCATCATTAGTATCAGCAAGTGCTTCTGAAATGATAAGTAGTGTGATGCATCTGGTCCACAACGTGCAAAGATCCTCTGGTTGTTGATGGTGAATATTGTTGGAAACCATGAGCAGCCAGCATCAGTAATCAATGAGGTTTCTGGATTGGTTTCATCTATTGCTATTGCCTCATCTGTGTTCTTGTAGAATAATTGGGTCCATTTCTCGCTTTGCACCAAAGCTAATCTCCCATAATCCCAAGCTTTGTTCCTCAAAATAGCAAATATTACAAGGAGCAGACACCATGACATAAAATTAAGTAGCAATGTTTCAGGTATGCCTTCATATACGTTTCCAATAGATGTTTTATTTATGCGCTTCACATTGAGGCAGGTGTCATTCTCATACTCGATAAACATTTTATTAGTCTGAAATGATATTAATATTAGGGTTACATGTAATTGTCAATCAATTTGGAGCTTACGAATCAATTTTAGGTTTGTGTTGAAATATTCTTGCAATATTATGAGCAAACAAATATTATATAAACATTTTATAATGTGCACTTTAAAATTGTGTTAAAACACCACTAAAAACAGCCATGATATTTCTGACAGGCGCTGTCAATTTCGTGGCAATATTACTCATTGTTAGTCATCTTGAACAACAATAAAATCTAATATTTTTAAAAAATATAGCTTTATGTTATTTGAATAATATATAAATCCTGTAGTATATAACGAATATAAATCGTAGTTTTATTAACATACAATGTGATGTATATAGGAAGTCATCTAACATGAGAATAAGTTATTATATACACTATAAATAGGTCATCCTTTCTAATACAGATGGTGCTACCTATCTCAACTAAGGTGGTACAAATGTGTATATCCAGGGCCTCCAAACAGTGTTAGCCCAGGCGCCCAAAGTTAACAGTCCATTCCTGCCTATATCAAGACATTTTTAGATACAATTATATAATATGTATGGGCTTCAGTCTTTCAACCTTTTTCTTTATATTTCTGAAAAAAAAAGGACTTTATTTCAGTTTCCTTCAATATTGAATAAACTAAAGGTTGTTCATAACTATAACTTTCTTTTACTAGAAAAATTAAAATAAACATTTATTGTATAACAATTATATATGCGAATATTTTTGGCTACAATTATGAAAAAAAAAAACTGAAATTCTAGAATATTATTGAGATAACTATGTGAAAATAATAATAATAAATAGCAATGAAATTTGCCAATGTTCATCTTACACATTTGTGCAAATATAAATAAAATACAAATGTATGTAATGATGATAATAGAAGATTTGTTAAACGAAATATTATAATGAATTATCAATATTAATTGTATAATAAAATAGTAGTAAGACAATAAACACAATGCTACAAAAAAAAACCTTTCAACAAGGAAGGTTCAATAATATTGTAGAACTATAATATTTTTACTATAATATATTCTTATATATAAAAAATATATTGTCTGTATGCATTTAAATACAAAGCTTTGGTTACTAGCATTATTAGTAAAAATTGTATTTCAAAGAAGTTATCGAATTTGATCATAGGAAGACTGATTTTTGTATTAAATGAGGTGAAACAATGACAAAAAATGAATATTATATTTAACGTGATATAAAAATGGTAATATGTAGATGAGATTTATATGGAGGAGAGTGTCCGTTTCTCCTTTACTGTTAACTCTGGATGCCAGGTGTCTACAATGAGGACCAATCGGAAATCTGTACCATTATGCCATACTTCGTGCTCAAAGCTATCGTCAAAGATTAATACCTTCCCCTCTCTCCAGGATCTAGAACAAATCTCATTATTATTTTTTCTTTTGAGTTCGTTATAGTATGACAAATACCTAGTTTCTTGTGCCACCCTAATGTAGGTTTTTGGTGGTACTACAAGTCCAAGATGCGCCCTTAGCCTACAATTTGTAGGACCGCAGTGAGGCCAGACGTGAGTGCCAGGATGCATCACGCTGAACTTAATTTGACCGCGTCTACAACCTGTGGCATCTGATAAAGATTCTACTAATTTACATGTGAAAGGACACCGTTTGCAATTGTCCTTATTCTTAACGCCTCTCGCGTACAATTCGAGCTGTTTCCAATCCCCCTTGTCACGTAGATTTTCAGCTTCGTCTTGAAACGATCCTTTACCATTTAATGCGTTAGTACCTTCGTTTCGGATAAGTTTATAGTTTGCTTCTAATGATTTGAAGAATTGTTGATATCGAGGTAAATCTCCAATGCTCCACCATGGTTTACCAGTTAATCGATTTACGTTGTACAGTGATCTCTGGTAGAGGGACAGGAAGACTTTGTTTGCGACTCCATCTATGAAAACCTATTAGACTGGTTATTGTATACTATAAACATGGATTGATATAAAAACTTACATCTTGCGCTTGTTTAAGTTTTCCCAATCTTGTTAAAGCATCGCCTAAATGGAAATAGAATCGACCATCAACAACGCCTTCAGCTTTAGTATTTAAGCCTTTGGCTAAGTATTTCATGCCTTCTTTTAAGTTATTATCAGATACTTTCAAGATGAATCCATAGTGAACTAATGCTACACCATCATCTGGCCATCGGCGCAAAGTATCAACCAGCAAAGATCTTGCTTCTTTAATTTTATTGACGGTTAAATAAGTAATAGATAATTGATTTCTGAATTTGATTTCGTCCGGAAATCTTCGAATTAATAAGTTGTGGACGGAAATGGCTCTTCCATAGAAACCTATGAAACAACACAGGTAATACAAATTATATCATTGTACTGTTGATACATACCTATAAATCGCATGCGATTGATGCATCTTTCAGCTGCTTGCTGGTATAATATATCGGGTACGTCTTCCATGTTCAAGATTTTCAGGTAAACGTCGATGGACTTCCTCAACAATTCGTTGCTTCTTTCCTTATCGGCTAGTTGATCCAAGCAGTTCGCTTTTCCAAACAAAGCGCGAGGGGATTTCGGATGCGCGTCTAGGATTTTGTTAAAACGGACCAAAGCCAATGCAAAATTCTGTTAATTGTTAATTAAACACAGAACAAAAAAAAAAGGTAATACAAAATAATAAAAATAAAAACGAAATAAAACAGAACACGATTAAATGTAAATTAGCGTCGACGGGGATTCCCTCGAAAAAGTAAAGGATGTTGTGTATTTGTGTGCGGAAACCTTCTAAAGAGAACCACCGCCATTGAACCAAAAATACTTTATATATAGAAAACGAAACAAACAACAATCCAACAATAAATTATTTCAACCAAAAAGAAAACACACTAAATTTTCAAACAAATTAATTCAAAACTAAAATGGGATTGGATATTTTTTTTTGTTTACACCTATCAACATTTGTATAATAAGTTTTTTCGTGTCAATATCAATGATATTATAATAGAGTTCTTACGTTCTGTTGGTCGTTTTCATCCAACTGATCCTTGATTGCGTAATCATAGGAACTTGTGATGTTATCGAACTCGTACATGTCCTGAGCCCCAGACTGAGATTTCTGTTCCTTGTTGTCGGCTTGTTTGTCTGAAAAAAGAAATTGGTACTAAAGCTACTCGTTTCTATAGGGTTTTTAAAAATCCCGCCGCTTAAAATTACGTTTCCATTCAAATTCGTCCTCTTCTTCGTAAACCTCCGAATCCTCTTCCTCCTCTTCATCATCCATCTCTTTATTCAGTTTTCCATATTTCGCTTCAAATTTCTTTATGAGGTCGTCTGATATAGACTCGATATCTTCATCTTCTTCTTCTTCCTCAATATCTTCCTCCTCGTCTATATCCTCTTCGTCGTCGATCATTTCGTCTTCTTCTTCGATCAAATCTTCATCCTCTTCCTCCTCCTCCATTTCTTCCTCTTCAACATCTTCGACATCTTCAACCTCTTCCTCGTCGTATGAGTTTTCTGGTTCGCTTTCGGGAGTCAGAGACCTTTCATAGGTCGTTCGCAACTGTTGATAATCTTCCTTGACTTTCGGGTGTAACTTGATTTCTTGCTCTACGACTTCCTCCTCTAAACATATCCAGATTAATATCCAACTCCTAAAGCGCCGCAGGACAGAATACCTTCATCGTTGAGGATAACGTGTTCAACTTCCTCGACTTTAGGCGGCACAACAATGGTATTACGTCGCGATAAGTCTATGCCCGTGGTTTTCTCGTGCACCTCGTCAACCTTATCTAAATACGTTTAAATGAGTACTATCTACTTACTTGCAGCAATTATTTAATACGCAACAACACAGAAAAACAACAACAACAAAAATATTTATATTAAAGATCAGGAAATGCCAGTTGTTAGTTGCGCCATAGTATAGAAGCGGAGGAGACACATATAGATAGACTACGTTTCTTGCCAAAGGATTAAAAGAAAGAAAAAAAAAACAAAAGAAATATTAATCAACTAATTCGCAACAATAACAGGCACATGCGACAACATTGCTACAGACCGGATTTCCATTTTCTAACCAGCACAACATATGCCACGACCAATATCGCGACGCCGACTCCGAATTTAACAACCACTGCAAAACAGTGACTATTAAAAACTCGCATTTCCTGATTTATCGCCGTAAATATCTTAACTAGTGTTTAAAAATAGAGTGTCACCTACCGCCTTCGTTTGTTGCTTCTACGTGTTCCTTTTCATCCTCTACTTCCTCCTCATTATCGTCCTGCTCTTCTATCTTTAATATATAAAAAACATTAATTAAAAATATATCGCATCCTTTGCTATTCATTATATACATTCTCTTTGAATTCATCTTCGGCGCTTTTATCGTCATCTTCATTGACTTCTTCCTTGCTTTCGTTTTCGGTAATGGCAAGTACCTCTTCACTTAATTCTTCAGCTTCCTCGCTTTCCTGCTGTATATCTTCTTCGCTGACTTTATCATCTTCGTCGTCGGCTTCATCGCTCACTTTGTCCTCTTCTTCACTAATTTTGTCGTCCTCATCGCTAGCTTTACCTTCTTCTTCGTCCACCTCTTCGCTTATTTTATCATCATCGTCGTCATCATCCTCGTTTTCATCACTAACTTTATCCTCGTCGCTAACTTTATCTTCGTCGCTTACATTATCTTCATCGCTAACATTATCTTCGTCGCTGACTTTCTCTTCGACACTAATTTTATCTTCGTCATCTTCGTCACTTACATTATCTTCGTCTTCGTCGTCATGATGACTGGCATCGTCATCTTCTTCACTAGCTTGCTCCTCGTCGTGTTCATCTTCTTCGCTCACTTCCGACTGATGATCATCCTCCTCGTCGTGTTCCTGTGACTCTTGTAGATGCTCACCGTGGTCATCGTGATCTGCAGTTTTATCCACCCAACCTTCGAATAGATGTGAAAAGCGACTTTCGGATTCCGTGGCTTCGACTAAAAATCTGGAACATTAGTAATCATTGATACAGAGACATCACAACTTACGGTCGGTGAGTCCGCGATGCTCGCTGATGATGAGACCAATAAGGACGGCGAGTATTCCTAGGAGGATGAAGAAAACGAATTTGGCGCAAAGGCCACCTCCGGTACTACTATCCTTGTGCACGTGGATGTTGAGGTCGTCGGAGGGTGGTGTCGGGGTGCGTACGAAATGGGGATGGATTGTCTCTTCGACATCATCTGAAATGTATAAATACCGTCGATTCCGTAGTCTATAAATAAAAGCAGTTGGGCAACGGCGCGATGCATTTATAAGGGACACCACCGTGCGGACGTCAATGATCTCCTCACCTTTCTTTTTCTTCTTCTCGCGTCGCTTCCTGGGTTGCAGATCTCCCGACATGCTGGGAGATCGGTTCGGTGATCGCGGTTTAAGCGGAAGCGCTGGATGCTATGGCGACTGCTCTCATATACTCCCGTGGTCCTGATGGTAGACCACGTCTATTTTCGCTGAGAATTACCGCGGCCCACTGGCTGCGGCCTCTGACAATAATTTGAACTATTATAAGACGCCGGACTCCTCCGAGCTGTCACGATTCCTGAAACTAAAAATATTATTATGAAAGTGAGATCCAGTGGAACCCGGTGAAAACGGCCGCATGAGGTCCGACGCGTGGCTCAACTCCCTCCAGCTTCCCCTCGCTCTTTACACAAGCAGAATACAATTTTTCAGGAGGTGAACAAGATGAAGAAGCTATAGTTTTACGTTTATTTACACTACAAATACATTCATGTAAAATATATATTTATATGTATATATATATACATATATACTTATATATATATATATAGACAAACAGTTATATATATATATATACTACAGTAGTAGGACAAAGCCTTGGCCTGGTCGCGTGGCAGTGTGACGCTCGCTTCTACCCATTTCCCACGGCCTAGGGTAGAAATCCTTCCAATTGATACACACCCCTCTCCGCGGCACACCCCAGTATGCAATCATTGTGTTAATAACAACACCCCACGAAATGCGATTGTTTTCAGCGTATATTAATGTATTCATTGCGATCGTAAAGGAGACCTAACTGTGCCTCTAAGTAACGGGAGGATCCGAAGAAGAAGTACAAAAAATGGATCAAACGAATGAAAAAAAATGCACAAGCGGAAGCGAATTCTCCTTCCAAACAACAGGTAGTCTATGTGGGCGTTGGGGTGTAAGTGTGTAGAGGAGTCACGCGTCCAGGTACGTAGGACCACAAAGGCTTTCCCACAAAACGTCCCATTACCATAAAACGGTGGGGCCGAATATCGTTTCCGCATTCAACCCTTCTTGAGAACACCCCACATCGCCGAGTCTTAAATATTTTATTGCAGGAGAACGAACAGAAGAATAAAAATAATTCAACAACAAAATAGAGTGTGTGACGGAAGAGCGGAAACGCACAATACGGGACATATCCGATGAATTGTTAAATTCGTAACGAAAGTGCAACTCGACGTGGACACGTGTTCCGCGCGTTGCATCATTGTTTTAACTGCCGTTCAACTTGCTCCAGTTTATTATCCAAACGCCAATTAAACGCGCCCACATCTAAAGCTTCACGCAATTTCGCATCAGCGCTTGTTATATAATAATCATATACTGTTCATCAACGTACAATTACTGTACGTCTCCATACAGATCTATTATACAATCGTGGACCAAAGTTTTAATTAAAAACATTTTTTTTCGCCCACAATAATTTCCACTTCAATATAAAAAAAATACATTCATAATTAAACAAGTATCAAATATCTATTTATTTTTATCATTAAAATCAGTGATCCCAATAACTAATTAACAAATTATAAATGCAAGCCCCATCTAATTTTAATTATAATAGTAAAGTTTGTCTATGTTGGTAGGACAAAACAAAAAATATAAAAAAACAAGTAAATTTAAAAAATATCTTGAATGTATTCTACTTAAAAAGTTCTTCGACTTTTATTTGATATTACTTATATGATATTCGACTTTACACTGAAGGGTTGATATGTAAATGCTTTATATCTGGGGAACTACCTGTAATTTATAGTCGCATACATTAAACAAGCAAAACATATGTAATTTGATATGAAATAAATGTGGGGTAGAGTATGTTTGATCTTTTTTTTTTAAATTGTAAATGTTCCAAAACAGACGCTGGTCATATAAATTACAAATTCTATTTCAATGCAATCATCTTTCGAATTCCCTCTTTACAAAATTTTCTCAACCTTTGTGCCCTGAAACCTTTATATCGAAACAGATGGTATATCTGATATCTGGCGGATGCGGAAGAACTCCCCAAATTCGGTGCTTCGATATCTTGCGTCGAGGTCACACTTCGCCGCATGCGATCTGTTATTGTCGTGTTGCGCAACAGCCAGCCAGTATTGGGAGGGTAAACCTTGCTAATAGAGACAAACCGTTCGAGATTTATCAACTTCCGATTTCTTTATCACTTTCATCTCTATAAGATTTTAAATAAAAAACGTATATTTACATTTAAAATTTTATTTGCTACTTTGCCCTATATCAGTTTTTATAATATCTTTCTTTAATATATATTTACAAATAAAAAATGGCCCTACGTATTTTTGCCTTTTTTTTAATTTTATAAACAAAATTAAAACTTAACAATTTTGTTTCCTAAACAATATTTCATGTTTTTTTATAGACAATTCCAACATAAAAATAAGTTGTAAAACATGACTTCATTTTTTGTTATTCTTACAGCTCAATTGTTATTAATAATCGAAATCTTTCAGACAGAAATGGTTTAGGTTGATAACCTGCTATGACCCATTCGTAAATAATTCAATGTACTCACATTTATATATAAATATATCTGTTTTTAAAATACATAATTCTTATAATATATTTCTTCTGTAAATAAAAAAATAAATTCATTGCAATTTCAATATGTAATATTTCATAAAAGTTAAAAATATTTTTATTGAAATTTTCAAACTGGACTGATCGAAGCCGGACTCTGCGAGGTATTGTTGTAATTAGTTCTCTAAACTTTATATAGCAATCAAAAGTTATACAGGAATTATAATATTTAGATGAAACAACACAATAATGCAATTATGGATATACAAAGTTTGTTTGCGTTCGGTTCATTTTTTTTTATATTTCCCTTGGGTTCATACGTTTTTTTGATCGACACAAAAATAATATGTGAAATCATATATTGCCAATCTAAAAATGCAGGTGTTAATTTAGTTTACCAAAGTCTATTATTAAAAGCAAAACAAAATATTGTATATTCATTGAGAATATGTAAGAAAATCTGATCAACAATTTCATACAAAGAAAAGATTTTATTCTCATATTCGTGATATCATGTGATCATTTGTACAGCACTGATTATCCGGACTATACGAGGTATTACAGTCTTGATTTATTAATAGTCTATAATCTGTATTAGGGTAGGATTTTTTTTTGTCTTTAGCACAAATTAGGAGCAATACATATTTTTAACATTTGATATAATAAGAAAAAGGTCCTTGATTCTATGCTTGTTGTTTATTAAAACACTCTTAAAAAATAAAAATAAATTACTTTTGAAGTTTATTTTATTAAACGATGATAAATAGACTGCATTTAGTAAATGCTATAGAGAAATGTTAATCGAAAATGTGAGTACGATAATGTGAATTTGTTAATTGAAGAAAGGAGGATAATGTACTTAAGTGGCCACCGGAGAAGAGATAAGGCAGAGGCAACGAAAGGCTTGTGTGCGGTATGGTAGTATCGTATTAGTTTGCGTATTGTATTTGATTAGTTCCGAGTTTGTGTGGGAATATTTGGTTAGGAGGGTACACACGCGTTCGAGTCCTAATAGTAATAGTGGCAATTGGAACGAGTGCATCAGAAGGGTCGAAGGATAGAAAGAGAGACAAATACAATACACACGTATATGTATGGTGTTGTAGAACTTATCTGCAAAGCATAGGTATAAGGGTATAAGGGTCGCGTGTGTTCTTTCTGGAGCGGCTGAGTGGGGGTAGTTTATCGGAATAGTGGGGATGAAACGTGTCAGGACGACGTCGGGACGTCCGTCGCACCAACGGGACACAACACATTCAAGCGTGGCCAGTGCGTGTGCTACAACGCTCCGACCTTCCGCCGACACGCGTCCACTTCCTTCCGATCTCTCTTATCAAAAACCATCACAAGTGTGTGCTCATCAGTGATCAACGCAATGGATCACCTATCGCAGAACCCGCCACTCCATTGGGGATACTCCGGCACTAATGCATCGTCCTCCTGGGCTCCGGTCACAAGGGCCGCCAAGAGGCCGCTCTCGGAGAGTGACGATTGCGACGACGTCTTCTCCGAAGGATCATCCAAAGAACAGTGAGTTTGAATTTAATTAAACCATAAACTTCCGATTTCTAACATCTCTTCAAATCTTTATCATTAGATGTACATCACCTGGTGATACCGATAGTTGCCAAATGCTCTCCAGAAAGAAACGCCGAGGTGTCATCGAGAAGAAGCGTCGCGATCGCATCAACACTTCCTTATCGGAGCTGAAGCGACTTGTACCCAGTGCTTTCGAGAAACAAGGATCAGCTAAGCTGGAGAAAGCTGAGATACTGCAAATGACAGTTGACCATCTGAAGATGATACACTCCAAAGGTTAGTTATAGTTTTATTGTGATCCGTATACGCTGGTGGAAATGGACTATATCGAGCCCACCAAGCTTGTAAATCTTATGTGTAGTGGACCACCTGTTTTCAAATCAACGCAGCAAAAATCCGGTTCCGGTTCACGAAAAGCCGTATATTTAAGGATACCTCCTTGCACGGCGCTTTCAATGAACTTGTAGTAGTAGTATTAGTAGTAGTAAGTGGCGGGCGGGCTTGAACGCAGGTGAATGAAGAAGGGTTAAGTCGCCTCGCGTGGGAACCACGCCAGGTGGCCCGTGGGAAAAAAAACTAACATACATTCAACAGGTCGAAACCATCTGTTCTAAACTAATATCGATAATTTTCTTTTCTAGGATTGGACTCATTCGCGTATGATCCTCATAAGTATGCTATGGATTACCATGGAATGGGATTTAGGGAGTGCGCTTCCGAAGTGGCCAGATATCTCGAGAGGATCGAAGGTCTGGATATTCAGAATCCTCTCAGGCTGAGGCTCACTTCTCATCTGCAGTGCTGCGCGGCCCAGAGGGAATTGGCAACAAAACAATCTTCAAGCGCACCCTGGGGATACGGAGCAGGACAGCCACCTTATCCGCCACCTCTAAATCCGCCACTTCCGCCATCACCGGCTTCGAATCACGGCTCAGTGCATCCCACGCAGTCTATCCATCATCAGAATATGCACGACGTTCCGCCCCACTACGCTGACTTATCCACGTCCTGCGCCCAAACTTCCGTCGCTCCGCCAGAGTTGATTTCCTCCAGGTTGGCACCAGCCACTTCCGTTTTGACACCGCTGACCACAACCACCTCATCGGCTTTGGGGTACAGCCCTCATCAGTACCCCCCAAACTCATTCAGCATTCCGGCTCCTCATCAGAACTACAACCAAAGCAACGGCAGTTCGCAAGGCATGAAGCCCTACAGACCGTGGGGCGCTGAAGTGGCCTACTGAGACATTCCATTCGATTTGTAAATACGAGCTTATCTTGCGTGTATATAAGATTTATAAGAATTGCCAGCTTAATCCCAAAGCTTAACAATTTAATTAGTCACTCTATAGTACCTATTCTATTTATTATAACAACATTTTTTTAAGATATATAGTATTACTTGTAAATAAAATATAAACAAAAATTAACCAAAAAAAACAAACGGAGAAAAAATAATCGAACATATTTTTTATACGACAAATATTTATATAATAATTATTATTTTTATTTGTGTGTGAATTTGATCTCACTGATATTTCGATCATACTTTTTGTGACTTGACAATTGTGATCCTTGCAAAGTACAGCAATAAAATGCATTTATTTAAAAAAAACGTCACTTTCGTCATTCCTTCTACCCCGAAACAGTGAGAAGCGCAGGATAAAAGGGTAACGAGGACACTCATGCACGTGCATCGACATTGACCGGAACAAAGGTCTTGGTCATTTTCCACGTGAGCCCTCGCAGGTTCTCATGAGCGAATACCAGTTTTACGGGTTTCGCAAAAATTTCGAGGGGTAGGGTTGCGTAATCCTTTAAGTCGACCGGAAATGCGAAAAACTGAATGAAAAAAAAAGTGTGTACATAATAAAAGAGAGAGTGTGGAAAGGGAGAGATAAAACTAGAGTGTGTTTGAAAGAGAGAGAGAGAGAAAAGAGTTGAAATGCAAATTGTTGCGTTTTTGAGTTATTGTAGGGTTGTAGTAATATGCGACTTAACGTGGGGTGGCTTAACGTGGGAAATGGACGTAGGACCGACTCTCACCTACCCCTCGTTGCACACGCCACCAGTGGAGGGCAAAGGGGGATAGTACCTAGCGTAAAGCCAAGGATGACTCGAGCCCTGTCGACCCAATTACCCAAATTAGATTTCCATTACGTATCGAATAACAATTTTATTAGTTCCTCCCTTTTCGCGAGAGTAGCGCTAATTCTTTTTTCTCTATTCTTTTTTTTTTTCAATCGCACAGATGTGATAATAAATCCGGCAAATGTTTGCATATACAGTGATGCGTGCTGGTCTGCATTTGGTATTCCATTATTGTGCGAAACCGATTTCTTTCAATCTCCATGATTTTTGCCATTTTCCGGTCGAACGATCCGGATTTACGAGCCGCATCGATGCAGCTTCACAAAACACGCCATTGACATAGCAATTTACTTGATGAACTCATCCACAAAAAGTGAAATAACAAAACCACAATTGATCTAAACCAAATATTTGATTGTAAGCATCAATTGACAGATTTGTCATTCATATGTACGTATTTATATTGAATTAGATCATGGATAGTAGCATAGTCTCAAATTCATATTCTTGTGATTAATTTTATACATAACTGCAATTAAAATAAATATGTTTTTGTATACAAAATTTAGTAAATATAAATTAATAATTATTATTCGATTAAGAAAAACAAATTAAATTAAATTCTCAGAAATGTATGTAATAGATATTATTACATCTATGACAATTGAATAAAAACATATTAAGTATAATCAGCGCTCACTTAACATATAATCTTTAAATATATGTTCGATAATACGTACATGAAAATTTACAGCCCTGTGATGAAACTAATGTATAATATTCCTACAATAATGTCAGAAACATAGGCGGACAATCCTATGATCAATAACCCTTTCTATTATTATTGTTATAAATGAAAATGTAAGATAAAAGACATATCGGTCGCGTTATTTTAAATAGTGTTATGTAAATGTATATATTTATATGAAAAGTTACTGTTCGATCAATGTACATTCGTTTAGCGTACGACAGTTAGTACAAGTCAAATATCTACTATTTTTTAGTTCGAATTACATGTTTTATTACACAACTTGATATTATCAAAATTTGAATAAAGTGGAAACTAAACTTATTACATATTATACACATATTATGTGTATTTTTGAATATGTTTTACTATACGAATATTTCACTATACAAGTAAAAATCCGGAAATTTTTGAACGGATTAAACTCTGTATCCACTGTATATTAAAATATTATTAATTATAAATTTCCTTAATTTTTAATAGCAAAAAAATAAAATAAAAAAAATCCACAATAACAAATTATGCATATAAAAATACTAAAAATATGTTTGTTATGGCAGAAACAGAAACATTTAAGCCTGTGCATTACAAGATGTGCAACAAAACAAATGTTTAACTTTTTATAAATTATGGTAGATTAACAAAGCAGTTAATACAAAGAAAATATTAGAAATAAAAAAAAAATCGTTATACTGTTGAAGTTTTGAAATGCTCATAATCTGTAAAGTAAGAAAGTATTTTAGTTTGAGATTAAATAATATATTACAGTGTTAGAGAATGGAAATAGTGAGATGAAATAAATACATCTATTGTTTTCAATGTGTGCTTCAATCAATCGATGTTTGGGCACCTGCGGTAGTAATCGAAATGAACATAGAAACCAAAAGTGTGTCCGAAAACAATTTTCCCGAGGGAAGCGCGTGCGGCCCTTTGTATCCGACTTATTCGTGTTTATTTTCATTCGATAAGCGAGCGCGTGTGAACGTCGCCGAAATTTGGATTCCATACATGCATAGAAGAGTCGACATTGAGCGAGAGGGAGACGGAATAGTTTGGAAAGGGAACAAGCGAGAGCGAAAGGAACGGGGAAGGGCTTGGTTACCGATTGCGTATGATTACGAGGGTGGTTTTGCGGCTGAGGGGGCCGAGTCAAGTGCGCTCCCACACTCGTACAAGTGGCGGTGGGTGGGGGCGGCGTTTCCTTTTACATAAATAGAGCTCCTGGCATGATAAGACCAGCATAAACCGAGTATCCTTCGTGCTATCCACATCTACGAAAAACACAGGTCATGTCGCTCAAAAGGTTCATCAGTTCTTGCCTGAAGGTGAGTCGCAGAAAACCGGTTTCGTCCTACAAATCCGTACTTCCCAATTTAATTGTCACGCTCAAACAAGCCCATTAACAACGCGTTGTTTTGTTTGTTTTCCGCTCAAAACGTGTTCTCTCTTTTGTGTACTATTTTTTTTTTCAATATTTAATTTTTATGTTTTCCTGTGATTTCAGGCGTTCAGAAGCGTCCAGAGCAGATGTGTCAAAAGATACCATCTGAGTCAGAGGTCTTCGATGTCTGGAGTCTCCATGAGAGATAGAAGCAGCGTGACAACGGAGGTTAGCTTTCTCGAATACGATATGAAGTTGATCAACAACAACAGCGAGGCTTTCGATAATACTTGGAACGAGAAGATGGAGAGAGGTTGGAGGGCTTGCAGCAATTAACAGTTGCGGCCGCCGTCGATTCGGTGATTCCCCATTTATTTCGCATGCAAATGCAAGTTTTGCCGTTGCCTCTTTTTTTTTCCAAATCGGGGTCCCTGCTTCTTGAGGATTTTAGGGCACAAAAGGGATAATGCGGCACGCGCACGCCGCCAAAACAATGCAGACGCATGCACGGCACGCGGCAGCGAGATCCAAATTAAGTTTGGGCCCTTTTGTTCCCATCCAGAAAGGCATTAGCGTGATTCATAAAGGTCCGATTTGGAATATTGGCAGCACACCAAACCAACGACGCAGATGATCCAGAACAAAATAATAAAAAAAAACGGTCTTCAGTTTTATGATGTGCTATATCAATCCATCAATCAAATCAATTAATAATTATAATAATGCCCTTCTTAATGTATAAAAACCATTGGTAGATTATCTTATAAACAATTGTCAATCATTAATTTTCGTTAATTATAACAGCATTTATTAACGATTTGTACTTTAATAAATATTTTACAAATAGCAAGTGTATGTTGTCTCTATTATTTTCCTATTACATAATTTTAACTGAAACAAAACAATTTTTTTTTTCAATTACATCCAAAAAAATAAATGTTAATATCACTATAAATAAACATTATTTTTATTACTGTTACATTTTTCAATTACATAAATTATCATTTATTAATTGATATACAATTCAATTAACGGATTTTGTCAATCATTAATTTTCGTTAATTATAACAACATTTATTAACGATTTGTACTTTAATAAATATTTTACAAATAGCAAGTGTATGTTGTCTCTATTATTTTCCTATTACATAATTTTAACTGAAACAAAACATTTTTTTTTTCAATTAATTCCCAAAAAAATAAATGTTAATATCACTATAAATAAACATAATTTTTATTACTGTTACATTTTTCAATTACATAAATGATCATTTATTAATTGATATACAATTCAATTAACGGATTTTTAAATAATCGTTCAACTTGTGTTGTGTTGTGTTCAATTGATTTATAGTGTACAAAATAACCAAGGTCAAATTGATATAATATTAATTTGTAAGGATCTTCTCAATTCATTGTTAGAGTTATTAGATTATAATTCCTTAATTGGTATTGATTAATAAATCGAAATAGTTCTAGAAGGATCTAATTTCGGAGCGTAAATTTCCTACAAATTTAATATATCGATCTGAAGGTTTATTTCATAATCAATTAGTTACAGAGATATACTCACTCGAGTTGAGTGCTAACTTACATAATGCATATACAAATTAATGTACGTTAAGCGAATGTACACAAATTCCCATATAGGTTTTTTTTTGAACACATGTCAACTTATGTATTGCAATGGTTATTATAAAAATGTATTTTTTTATAATTAATAAATAAATAAGAAATACCTGGCTTGACCAGGCTATCAGAAATAACATTTTTTTCTTAGATGTGTGAGCACAGTTTGATTCTTTTAGACTGTGATAATATATATTTGTCCTAACAATTGTTCAATGTTGAACATTTATTTTTAAATAATTAATTCAAATTTATATTAACTATTATGTAATTCATAATAAATAATTTTATTGATCAATTATTTTTATCATAAGAAAAGCATAATACATCAATTTAAAAAATGGTAGTATTTCTTATATTTTATATTATCTCGACTGGATTGAACTGAATAAACAACTATATATCATTTTCGCATAAAAAATCGCCTTATAAGTTGTTTCTAACCTATCCATTAATTCTTATCAACCCGCGTTGCAAAATCATATTACGAGAT